TTTGAAAGAAGCTAATAAAATAGCTAGTAAGGGCCTACATTGCATCCCCAGAACCCACAGGATGAAAAGAGAGAACTGACAAGTCTCCCAAGTTGCCCTTTGACTTCTGAACACATACTCCACACACACAAAATAAATAAATGAATAAATAAATAAATAAATGTGTAATTTACAATACTTGCACTCTGTATTAGAGTCGTAGGTACTATCCCATTTAAAAGAAAATGAAGTGATGTGGAAGACACACTGAAAAGAGAAATTGCAAAATATACTTAGTAAGAAGGGCACAGGGCTTGCTTTTTAATTTCAATGAAAGTAAACATTTTTATGGGTATGTGTGTTTACCTGTATGTACACCATGTGTATGCCTGGTGCCAGTGGAAGTCAGAAGTGGGGGGTAAGATCCTCTGGAGCTGGAGTTACAGACAGTTGTGAGATGCCATGTGGGTGCTGGGAACTAAACCTGGCTCCTCTACAAGAGCAGCCAGTGCTCTTAACTGTTGAGTCTTCTTCTCTCCAGCCCCTGCTGTAAACATTTTACTTGAAATGTTCACAATATTTTTGGAGTCTAGTTCACTTAGGTTTCCACAGTATGCTTGACCATTAAAATACTTTACTGTCTGTTTCCCCGCCAGGGCATGTTCTCCCACTGTGTGCAACAGCCTTTCTTTGTTTTAACAGTTTTACACATTGGTATGCACCTTCGTGAACCAGAAAGGTTTTGTGTGAACCTTCCTATTCAAGAGTATTCAGGTCTTCCATTATGTGTCGTAGAGGAGGATTAAGGATTATGCTGAACTATAAGGAAGAAAAGTCATTAAGTTTGATCTCAAGAACCTGACAGTGAGGGTAAACTATTAAACATGACTTCAAGATTAGCAAAAGAGTCAAAATAATAGTAATAATGAATGCCAATTTAAGCTGCCTGGGGATATTTTTAAACTGAAATTGGAATTGATTGAGTCAAAGTGAGATTCGATATTCTTCACCAGTCACACTGCTTCTTACTACATGAGCTCTATCTAATGAAGGTGCTCTGTGGAATAAACTAAGATCTCACAGTTTTGCCGAGCGAGGTCAAGGTACTGGGAAGAGACGCTAGTGCTCACCATGGAAGCATCTGAATCTCACCGGTAGAGGTATGCTGTGAATTGTGGGAAAACATATGTCTGCCTTGAGATGAGGAAACTATTATCTATCTAAAATAAACATTACATTTATTTTCTGTGCTTTTTGGTAATGATACTAAGGTAAAAGCTAGAAATGGTAACTCACGGACCAAAATCCTCCACTAAAAAACTTAAACGTGAGTGATACATGCCTGTGAGATACACTGCACAGTCTACAGTATCATCAGTTTAATAAATACCATGAGTTTTTGCAGCTTTGAGAATTGTTTTTAGCACATTCCTATACTAGTAGATTAAAAGTAATTCATTGCCGTTTGAAATAACATTCCCTAATCCATTATTTTAATTTCATTCATTTTATGGCTTAGAAATAATATTACTGTGGTGTTCAATTAGTAGTAAAAGAGATTTTTAATAGGTGTAATACAATGGTAAGTTGTCAGTAATTTTTAATTCAATTACTTGAGTACTTCAGTTTATTCTTAGGTTTGTATGAGCTTAAACCAAAATTTTCTTTTCAGCAGTAAAGTCATAATTAGTTCTCTGTAAAACCAACCTGGGAAATGCTTACTAAATTTGCTTCATTCTTTTTAAGCAAACTTCAGATGGTTAGTTTATGATCATTCACAATATGTTTCAATGAAAAATTAATAATTTTGATTTTTACACTCTAAGTTGTGGAAAAGAATTAAGGTATTTGGAAAGCAGTCACATAGAATGTACGGTGTCTAATTTATATCAGAGTAACAAGTATTATCACTTTTAATGTGTATGTTATAGATAAGAATGTTTTCTAATTATCTTTTAGTTACACTATCAACATATTTTTCACTTGTGTTTGTGTTGCAATAAATAGCAACACTGTAGAGAAATGGAAATGGGATTTTAGAAGTAGTATTTAAATAGCACTGTATTACACTTTACACTGGAATGTCCAAAATCAAGAATTCAAGAGTGAGAGGACTGAGAATCATTTCCAATTCACTTTGACTCAAGATACATGCGAGACTTTTATACAAAATTATATATA